AAAAAAAAAATATAGTAATGGATGAGAGTAAAAAAGCTTGTAAATACACGACGATACCTGTTTAATGTAAAGCAGAATAAGGCCGTTTCATGCCTAACTTTAACAAATAAAAAATCGTTTTTGAGTGCTTGCCTTGGATTCAGATGAGCTCTTTTGTCTTTAGAACAATATATACTAAAGCTACAGTCGCATTTGAAAGATTTTTATTGAACAAAAATTCAATTTGATACTTTAAAAATTTTTTCCCCCAAAACTTTGTCTTCAAAATAAGGGTGCGTCTTATATTCCGAAAAATACGGTAGTTTATTTCTTCTCTATCATTTCTACAACAGTACAAACTTGTACTCTGTTGTAACGTGTAGGCCTATGCTTACGAATGACCTTCAAACGGAATTACCTTGCTTTTGTACTAAGACTAACACTAAAGAATAAACTTACTGGTACAATTTCACGGTTAATCGGTTCACGGAACTGAATACATGCGTTAAACAACGCTGTCTTAAATACTTGACTGAACTAAACTAACTGACTGACACTTTACCGACTCGATACTCATTCACTATTTACTGAAAGCAAAACACTGTTTTTCATGTTGATAATTTAGCTTTGTTATTAGATGACAAAGTTATTAGATTATTGTGCCATCATCAAAAACGTTACTTCGTCTACTCCCACAAACTTACTTGTCTTAACGTCAAGCGCCCTCTAACTGGCATCCGAAATCAAACATTAAAAATATAGCTCACAACACCTTGTTGAAGTTTGAAATTTTCGCGCAAAGATACGCAATGGCTATCTGAGCTTAGCCGTCCCTAATTTTGAACTGAGAGACCAGAAATGAAGGCAGCTGGACAACAGCATTCACTACCAACTGTTAGGCTACTCTTTGCTTGATGGAATAGTTGGCGCTGGGTGCTTTTCATTGGCTGCCTTCCCTCTAATTTATCATTTAATAATTAGGAACAACTATACCTGAACCGTATATAGGAGTTTCTGACTCAGCTATTTGCATCATATGTGTATAAAATGCAGTTCATGTTGAAGTACTCAATGAACAAGAAACAAACTATGTTAGTTTCATATTTAACTTATATATAAAAGAATGGTCATACAAACCCCCTTTTTTAATTATCAATTTGAGGTTCATGGTCCGTTGGTTTGCTAAATAATTACGTGTAGCTTAATTTTTCAGAATAATTAATACTATTGATATTCTTCTAATTTTTACCTTTCTATTTAGGAAGCCGAATTCCTTTTGACACCAGTCTCAGCTAATTTCGAAAGACTTGAAGTGGCCGACTTCACAAGACCTTTAATGGTTGATCCTCAAGCCTTATTGGTTGCTAGTCCAACTGAGGAGAACAATGCTTTCGGTTTGTTTTTATCCTTAAATTGGGAAGTAAGTGTACAAGTACCTAATCTCATAACTAATACAAAAAACAAACAAACCAAAACCTTCAATGATTAGAACAGAATGAGTCATCAGTTAAACAATCTCGTTGTTTAATGGTATTTTTAGCCGTAATTAACCAAATAATATCTCAACAGGTTCAGTTAACTTAGGAGACTTAAGTTAGTTCTAAATCCATATATTAAAGTAACAGTACAAAATTAGTCCTCGTGAGCTTAATCTAATAGATAAATTTGTATCTGTTTGTTCGCACCTTTCATCTATCTTTCCTTATATATTCCACATTTCTTGACCAATCAGCACCAAAATTGACACAGTAATAAATACATGAGAAAGGTCATGAAGAGGGTTGAGGTTGGACCCCCTCCTCCATCTTCTATATAAATAAACGTCAATACGTCAATTTGTTGCGTATCAATTAGGACCCAACTTGACACAATGATACAGGACGACATGATGAAGGTCATCTAATTTCATGTTGATGGAATTCTTGAAAAAGTATATCTTTCTTTTCAGTATTGCTATCTTTATGTATTTTTATTGCATTTTTAGTGTTTATTGTGTTAAGAACAAAAAAACAGAAGCACAATTTCCTATCCTTTGTTAGAAACGTGTTTTTATTTCAGCCGTTCAACGGACGATTATTCCAGCCAGTAATATATAATATAATTATGTAAAATCTTATAAACAACAATATTAATTAAACTAACTTAAAAAGAATGGAATAAGACATTACACCATGAAAATCATCAATTACCTGTTCTATGTCCAATGTAAGGGAATATTTATACGTACTGATTGAGGCCCTCTTCACATCATCTTGAGGACCCCAGTTTGGGAACAACTGTCATTTATAAGCAAAAAAAAAAAAAATTTTACTCTGATTAGATTTACTTTTCCTAAAGCCTTAAAAACAAAGAAAAAAAAATACGTTTCACTGCTAAATTAGGGACGGCTGGCACAGATAGCCCCTGTATAGCTTTGCGCGAAATTCGAAAACAAACAAACAAACTTTTTCTGCTGTAGGTGAATAAAATTTTAAAATAAGACGTGTCTGTTTCTTTAAGTGAAGAAAGCCCTAAAAAGACGTGCCTGTTTGTCTAATTGAACAATGCCTTAAAAACACTCGTCTGTGTGTGTGTTTCTTTAAGTGAACAAACCCTTAAAAAACGAGTCTGTTTCTCTCGATGAACAATACCTTAAAAAGATGTGCCCGTTTCTCTAGGAGTAGAAATACTTCAATAGACATGTCTGTTTCTCTAGGTAAACAATGCTTTTAAAAAGACATATCTGTTTCTCTAGGTAAACAGTGCATTAAAAAACGTTTCTGTTTCTCTGTATGAATAATGCCTTAAACAAACACGTATGCTTCTCTATGTGAACAAAGATTTAAAAAAGACTATCTTTTTCTGTAGGCGAAGAAAGGCTTAAAAATAGTGCTGAATTCAGGGAATTACAGGGAGAATCCCCCTCAGTGCTAACCCCCACTAGTATTTTAACTATTTTGTCTTTTTTAATTAAAGTACAATGTTTTCCATTTCATCAAATTTGAATATTGATTAATCCCCCCAGCTTCACATCCCCCAACTGGAAAGGTCTGGATTCAACATTGCTTAAAAAGACGTGTCTGTTGTTTTTTTAGGCAAACAACGCCTTAATAAGACGTGTCTGTTTCTTTAGGGGAACAATACTTAAATAAGACATGCCCGTTTCCCTAGGAGAACAATACTTTAATAAGACGTGCCCGTTTCCCTAGGGGAACAATGCTTTAATAACACGTGTCTGTTTCTTTAGGGGAACAATACTTAAATAAGACATGCCCGTTTCCCTAGGAGAACAATACTTTAATAAGACGTGCCCTTTTTCCTAGGAGAACAATGCTTTAATAACACGTGTCTGTTTCTGTAGGTGTGGCTAGCGTTATTAATCAGTATGTTCAGTCTTTCGTTCGTCAGCTGGATTTTCGATATAATTAAAAAGAAACAACCGTTTGAAGAGAAGACTTCTGGAGTTTTGGACAATTTGTGGCATTTCTTTATATGCATTTTATTACAAGGTAAGTTGAAGCGCAGAGCTATTACTTTGTATTTCCGAGAACAAGAAAATTTGAAATAATGTTCCATTTGAAAGACCAGAATTCGAAAATATAGTATATACGATAACATTCCTTATGAATATAAATCTATCGACATTTTTATTAGTTTTACTCTTTTACAGGCGTTAATGATTTTGTACTAAAAGGTATCCCAGACTTGGCTATTAACATTTTATCAAGCTGACATAAAAGAGTAAAACTTTGCAAGAATTTTAAGATCATGACTCTTATTTTTGGGGCACTCCAAGTTACAGCCAAGTGAGTCAATCAGAAACAATCTAGGTTCGACTCCTCGCTGTGGACAGAGCTCAGATAAATAACCTGTTGTTTGACTTTGAGATAGAAGCAAGCAAATCAATCAAAAACCGAGAAAAAAGGATGAATTTATGAATAGGAATGCATGCCAATAGTAGAAGTTTATCTATACATTTGACTTAACAAGGTAGAAACTTTATTTTTGTTATGTAAATACTAAAAACAGTTTGAAATATGGAAACGTGATACCAAAGATATTTGACATGTATAGAACCATATAGTTTATCAATCGAGCCGGGATTATCTTGAAAACAATTTTCTTGCATAGCGCTGTTATCCCAGGAAAAATAATCTTAATCAGACTTTCTTCTGCTTCGCTGTTTTTTAATACAAATATAACCACGTTGTATAGAATAATAGTAGTGTAATAGTTGCTAGGACACGTTGTTTTATAATAAAAAAGATACACATGTTAAACAGGCGAATGGTAGTTTATTAGTGGCTATGGCATTATGTTTTATGATAAATTATCCATGTTAAACAGAAGAGTGGTAGCGTATCAGTCACTTGCTATAACACGCTGTTTTATAATAAAGGGGATACCCTAGTTAAACAGGCAAATGGTAGTGTATTAATTGCTAGGACACATTGTTTTACAATAAAAAAGAGTACTCGTATGAAGCAGGAGAATGGTAGCGTATTAGTTACTAGTTCACTCTGTTTTATAAATAAAAATACAGATGTTAAACAAAATAACTGTAGCGTGTTAATTCGTAAAGAGCGCTATGTTATAACAGAAAAGAATGAACGTTCCAATCTGGACAATTCGAAATAGAATACTTTGTATAGCAATTAATCTCGTGCAAAGCTATGACATTCAAAATGGAAACTTATCTTGTTAAGTCTGGACACTTTTAGTACTAAATGAAAAGATTTCGTTTCGAAAGTTAAAAAAAAATTACTGTATTTTATATATATAAAATTTTTTCTTCGAATATACCAAGTATATTATTTTAAAGAAAATTATAGCGAATCGCGATGAAATAAACATGATAGATTGTACCTCAAGAATATCTTTCCAAGCTTTTAATTGTAGCTAGGTTTTTACTTGCAGACTAAGAATTATAAATTATGGGATTATTGTTTTCCTATA